ATAGTTAATTAGATATATATATATATATATATATATATATATATATATATATATATATATATATATAATATATATAAGATAAGATATATATACATCTAATAATGTATAATATATTTATACACTTAAACATATTTATATATATATTATAAACTATATATATAATTTGCTTTGTAGACCATCTTTGTATGAACTTGTTTACACATTTGTACGTTTCTCAACAATGTTTATTCGTATAGATACATTAAATTGTCATTAAAAATGCTCGCTTTCCGTTGATTCCACCGTCAAATACTTTGAACTGACACTCGTACTCAACTGCGTGGTCATTCGAGATGAACTCTTTAAAGATACACCCTTCCCGAAAATGCTAGATGCGGCGATAATCAGTGGGTCCTCTTTTTCATCTTCGACTGGTACCAACATACCCATGAAAGCTGCCGAATAGTTACCTCGACCTGGTTCGCTGAAAACTACACGCTCGTCGACTATCCATCGACTGTAACGTATTTCGGAGAACAGCGTAAAGCCGGCATTGCGCGCATTCGTTTGGCTTGTACCGGAAGTGAAAATGCCTCCGATCGCCAAAATCTTCAATGACTTAGCTGCTTGCACGCACGCATCCAACAATGCTACTTCGACGCTTCTTTCTCGATAAGACGGATGCACGCAGAGGAGATAGATGCGAAAGTACTCAGGCTCTCCGAGCTTTTCGTACGGACTCGTTTGCAGAATTACCGTGTTCATCAAATGCATGATACTGTTTAATTTGCTTCCATCCAATATCTGCAAGGTTCAGCGAACCATTCGTTAGCGTTAACGAGAATAAAAATCATATTGCCGTGCGATCAAACGCAAATGTTCACAAAGTGTAACATCGTTGCTTTGTTTTAACGTGTTAGCATTACTTGACGTATGATAAAAACTATGGTAACATTAGCATTAGTTTCATTGGGATCGATGGGAAAGAACCGTTTGTTATGCAGAAGACAAAAAGTAGAGTGTGACGAGCAACAATGAAAATAAAAATGAAAATAGAAATAATAAATAGGATCAATAAATGTCATCTGTAGGAAGCGAAAATGCGAGGAACACGGTAAAAAAAAACACGAAGCAGAGTTAGGCACTGAGGCAGAGCTGGTTAAAAAGACTATTTTGATTCGCACGTAATAGGTTTGTAAATAGATATAAATATTTTATATCTATCTATCAGCTCTGCGGTCGGTTACTGTGAGGTGACCAATTGCTGCAACTTTGATTTATTTTAGGGCGTAATCAACTTTACATTTATCAAATAAGATATACCAAATATTTTTATTCAAAAATAAACAAAATGAAAGAATAAAAATGTTTAACATGCCTTATTCGATAAATATAAAATTAACTCTATCCAAAAGTAAATGAAAGGCGCAGAAATATCCCACAGTAATCGGCTCCACTGCCCTAGCTGCATTTCTAAAAAAGCTGAAAGAGTTCTCGAAAAAATCAAGCACTTCGCAATAACGATTACAGTTCAAAAACGAACGATTACGACAGTCATAACGGCCGTAAAGTGTCCGACGCGTTTCGGGAAGGAAGAGTTTGCGATTTCTCAAGTGGCAAGATGAAGCAACAAAGATCAACGAGTGCGTAATATCGGGGAAGGACCCAAAGTTATTGATGGACAGAAGAACCATTAACATACGAGACGTGAAATAATATTATCATTTTCGATACGAACTATCACAATCTGTGACTTACGATTTTTGTACTGTAATTACGAAATCTGTTTTTGTTGTTCACATTCTTGAACTTTGGTACGCATACGACGATGTACGGAACGATGTCATAATTTTGTCAGCAATTTCTAGCGTTGACCAGGATTTGTGATAATCATTAGTTGAATATGTAATCTAACTATTAATAGGTATAATATAAAACTAAACATAATATAATATAATATTAGGTCTACCGGAAAGTTCTGTCCGATAGTGTCACTTCAAGTTTCAATCCATATGCACATGTTGATTCGAGACATATATGACTATCTCTCTTTATCATGGCATTTACACGCATGTACTCTCCTAAATAAACTGAAACAAAGATGTCTCATGTCACTATTAAGTGAGACGCGATCGTGAAAACATGGCTACCGATGATAATGCCAGACCACATGCTGCTTTGGCGACTCGTCAGAAAATCGCAGAGCTAGGCTGGGAAATTCTGTCNCATACCCATGAAAGCTGCCGAATAGTTACCTCGACCTGGTTCGCTGAAAACTACACGCTCGTCGACTATCCATCGACTGTAACGTATTTCGGAGAACAGCGTAAAGCCGGCATTGCGCGCATTCGTTTGGCTTGTACCGGAAGTGAAAATGCCTCCGATCGCCAAAATCTTCAATGACTTAGCTGCTTGCACGCACGCATCCAACAATGCTACTTCGACGCTTCTTTCTCGATAAGACGGATGCACGCAGAGGAGATAGATGCGAAAGTACTCAGGCTCTCCGAGCTTTTCGTACGGACTCGTTTGCAGAATTACCGTGTTCATCAAATGCATGATACTGTTTAATTTGCTTCCATCCAATATCTGCAAGGTTCAGCGAACCATTCGTTAGCGTTAACGAGAATAAAAATCATATTGCCGTGCGATCAAACGCAAATGTTCACAAAGTGTAACATCGTTGCTTTGTTTTAACGTGTTAGCATTACTTGACGTATGATAAAAACTATGGTAACATTAGCATTAGTTTCATTGGGATCGATGGGAAAGAACCGTTTGTTATGCAGAAGACAAAAAGTAGAGTGTGACGAGCAACAATGAAAATAAAAATGAAAATAGAAATAATAAATAGGATCAATAAATGTCATCTGTAGGAAGCGAAAATGCGAGGAACACGGTAAAAAAAAACACGAAGCAGAGTTAGGCACTGAGGCAGAGCTGGTTAAAAAGACTATTTTGATTCGCACGTAATAGGTTTGTAAATAGATATAAATATTTTATATCTATCTATCAGCTCTGCGGTCGGTTACTGTGAGGTGACCAATTGCTGCAACTTTGATTTATTTTAGGGCGTAATCAACTTTACATTTATCAAATAAGATATACCAAATATTTTTATTCAAAAATAAACAAAATGAAAGAATAAAAATGTTTAACATGCCTTATTCGATAAATATAAAATTAACTCTATCCAAAAGTAAATGAAAGGCGCAGAAATATCCCACAGTAATCGGCTCCACTGCCCTAGCTGCATTTCTAAAAAAGCTGAAAGAGTTCTCGAAAAAATCAAGCACTTCGCAATAACGATTACAGTTCAAAAACGAACGATTACGACAGTCATAACGGCCGTAAAGTGTCCGACGCGTTTCGGGAAGGAAGAGTTTGCGATTTCTCAAGTGGCAAGATGAAGCAACAAAGATCAACGAGTGCGTAATATCGGGGAAGGACCCAAAGTTATTGATGGACAGAAGAACCATTAACATACGAGACGTGAAATAATATTATCATTTTCGATACGAACTATCACAATCTGTGACTTACGATTTTTGTACTGTAATTACGAAATCTGTTTTTGTTGTTCACATTCTTGAACTTTGGTACGCATACGACGATGTACGGAACGATGTCATAATTTTGTCAGCAATTTCTAGCGTTGACCAGGATTTGTGATAATCATTAGTTGAATATGTAATCTAACTATTAATAGGTATAATATAAAACTAAACATAATATAATATAATATTAGGTCTACCGGAAAGTTCTGTCCGATAGTGTCACTTCAAGTTTCAATCCATATGCACATGTTGATTCGAGACATATATGACTATCTCTCTTTATCATGGCATTTACACGCATGTACTCTCCTAAATAAACTGAAACAAAGATGTCTCATGTCACTATTAAGTGAGACGCGATCGTGAAAACATGGCTACCGATGATAATGCCAGACCACATGCTGCTTTGGCGACTCGTCAGAAAATCGCAGAGCTAGGCTGGGAAATTCTGTCACATCCACCATACTCCCCGGACCTAGCACCCTCCGATTATCACTTGTTTCTCTCTTTGCAAAACTTTTTACAGGAAAAAAATTCAAAACCGAAGCCGATGTCAACCAAGCACTAGTTGAGTTCTTCGCCTCTAAAAATAAATGATTTTTTAAAAATGGCATTTACAAGTTACCATCACGCTGGCAAGAAGTCATAAGTAACGATGGAAAGTATAGTCTACAATAAATATTATTCAATGTATGAAAATTGTGTTATATTTCGATTAAAAAACGGACAGTACTTTCCGGTAGACCTAATATAATGTAAATATAATATAAAATTATAAGAGATAAAATAACTATTAATAGGTAGCGTTTTAACTTCTAATTGGCTGCGTCGGAGTATTATTGTGTTGTAAACGTTCATCGAGAGAAGCTGTTGGTCCCTAATACCTTGCGATGCTAGAATGCTAGTTTATCAAATTAGAAGATTCTGGAAGATTCAGATTCTCAAGAATAAATGCAACTTTATCAAATTATTAATCTCTCTGAATGACTCTCAAAGAGTCATATTTTTGAGAATGAATACAGCTTTTATATGTTATAGCTGTATTTTATGATGAGGTTTTATATACGTGGTCTTACTAGCATGGAATAAATAATAAAAATCCTCTTTTAACAATATTTATAAGTAAAAATGTAATTATAGGATACAGCAGTTAAATATTGATGTTTGAAAATCAAATTACCACCATTAACAACTAAATTACAGCTAACGCGGATTAATTAATATCTAATTAAGACAAAATATGTATAGTTTTTTTATTTATTTTGAGGACATTTATGATACGGGACTTAAGGGAGTATTCTAGTGTGAACTTTTCAAAAAATCAATATACTTTCTTTGCATATTCTCAGAGAATATAGTTTCAAAACTACATTTCTGGAACCTTACCATCTTCTAAAGTTATGTTATGGTTGCTTGAAGGACACGACAACCTTATATTACTATCGATTGTATTAAACTTTAAAGGCATTTTTCTCGAGACTATGTTTTCCAGAACGGTTTCCATGATATCTTAAATACAAATTGACCAATTGATAAAAATTTTTTAATATGCATTTAGTATATGTTCGACCACAGCCCCTACTAGAATCAACAAAAGAATGTTTATTCTTTTTATTTTTTAGGCCGCCGAAGTTTAACGAAACAGGCAAAAATCGATAATCGAATTTCAAAGTACAGTAAATTCTCCCTAACTGACGCTCAGATTGTGCACAAGAATGGACAATTTGGGAAGAGGATTTTTATAGTTGTTGACAATCGGTAACTATAAAAACGAATCACAAGGCTCGAATAATCATATCTCCCCTTTCCAAATTGTCCATTTTTGTGTACAATCTAAGCGTTAATTAGGGAGAATTTACCGTATCACCGCTTTTTTAATTACTGACTTTTCTTTTTTGTTCTAGTATCTACTATAACCAAATTCATACTAATTAAGGATCTCCCACGTTTTTTTTTGTTATTTCGAACAAGCAGAATGGCGGAATCGTTGACGCCAAAAGACGACCTTTTTAAAAGCGATTATGTCCGAAAGTATGTAGTGCCACTAATTTCAACTTTTCTTTTGTTCCAAAAAATTTGAAATCGTTGAAAAACGTACATATAAACCTCGTCAACTTGACTGCAAAAGGTATTAGGTTGGTGCATATGAAGTATCGGATTTTCTTTACATGTGACGTTTGTCTCCCCGTTTTCGTTATGCTTTTGTTTTTGGCATAATCTGGTTTATAATCGTATTGTCCATTGCCGGAGTTACTTTTCAACAAAGAAAATTTTCTCAAAAGTGTTCCATTTTGTTATTTGTTTTGAATTTCGTAAGGATATGAATTCAACTGATATTCGTGTGTGTGTGTAATTTTTTTATATGAGTATTAACTTGGTAATAATGCTGCAAAAGTTGCACGCAATATAAACCAGGCGTTTGGGGAGAATGCTGTTAACGATTCAAAAGTGCAGTGTTGGTATGAAAATAGTCGGTCTGCTGATTTTCCTTACAAAATGAACCGCGTGGAAGACCCAAAACGTCTGTGAAAAATAATGCTCTGTAAGCATTGGTGGAAACGAATGTGACTGGAGTAATTCACTACTCATTCCTTCGAACTGGGGAGACAATTACAGCCGAAAAATACTATCGGTACATTGATGAAAAATGCATGAAAGATTGAAAATTATACGCCCACCACTTGTTAATCGGCATAACCGACATACTTCTCCACGACAACGCTCGGCCGCATACGTCGTACAAAACAATTGCGAAGTTAAATGAATTAAAATATGAAAATTTGCAGCACCCACCTTATTCGCCGGATCTTTCGCCAACCGACTTTCATTTGCTTTTTAGACATTTAGAACAGTTTTTACGGGCTAAACAGTATAAAAATGAAGACAGTCTGAAAAATTTCATATCAGAGTTTATTGATTCTAAAGATCAGGCATATCTATGCATTAAAATCTCGTTAGGAAAGGTGTATTGAAGCAAATGGAGCATATTTTGATTAAATGAACAGCTTTTGAAAAAAGTTATGCAGTTTAATATATTCGCTTAAAAATCCGCACCAACCTAATATAATAGTTTCTTTGCAAAAAATTCCCTGACAAAGTTAAAAACAAAAAAACACGCACTTCACGCTAGAATAGCCCCTTAATACCGGTTAGAATGTTGCCTAGCGATGTCGCTGAGATACGTGCCTGTACGCGGTTGTACACGTCCGTTTTTTCGGGAAGACTATCTATTCTCGTGACAGCGACGCCGATCACGCGACCGGATTTAACGCTACATGCGACCAAGCTCGTCGTGTCCTTCATCCACGTTCTTACGAGCTCTATGTAGCCGTTTACGGATGATTGATCATCTAGCAGTGCGCACGCCTTGCACATAGGTTCCTCGCGAAAGTAATGGTGCTGAAAGAAATACGGAATCTGATCGTATTACGTTTCGACTGGATTGAGGAAGTGTCGCGATCCACGGAAGCTGATAAATTTAATGAACAGTAAAGTCGACAGGAGACAGTACGCTGTTATGCGCTGCTCGTTTTCGTGGCTAAACTTTGATCAGACGTAGAACTTCGTCGTATTGGGACTCCTTTAGATCCTGTATCGTGCAGTTGGCTGGCGAGTCCCACACCAACGGAGTTTTCATTCGCGCTTCAACCTGCAAGCTGAACTCGTCGGTTTCGCCTTGAGCGTCCATGTTATATCCACTGGTACACAGATTTTAGATTTTGTTGTATCCTCTCGATGGTACGAACAGAGTGTCTTAAATCAATGTTGATTTGAGACATTTGACGAAAAGATCGTACCGTACAATTTTCAAAGCCTTTGATTCGATCACTCGATTCGATGCGAAATTACTTCACGGTTGAATATAGTGGACGTTGGTTGCCTTCAGATCTTTGAAAGCCAGAGGGGGCGGGCTCGGTGTTGAATAATTGTTTGACTCTCCTTGGATACCTTCTTGTAGCGAAACGATCTTTGTATCTTTGTGACGACGAAAGACCTATCGGTAGATGTAGACTTTGTTTTAATTCGGTGAACAATATTAAATCGAAAGTAAAATACTAATTCCAAAGTGAAATAATGATTCAGCGGTAAAATAATAATTCGAGAGTAAAATAATAATTCGAAAGTAAAATAATGATTCAGCAGTAATATAATAATTCAAAAGTAACACATAATCCAAAAGTAAAGTAATAATTCGATAGTCAAATAACGATTCAGCAGTAAAATAATAATTCCAAACTCAAATAACGATTCAGCAGTAAAATAATAATTCGAAAATAAAATAATAATTCGAGAGTGAAATAATAATTCGAGAGTAAAAAAATAATTCGAAAGTCACATAATGATTCAACAATAAAATAATGATTCGAAAGTAAAATAATAATTCGAGAGTAAAATAATAATTCGAGAGGAAAAAAATAATTCGAGAGTAAAAAAATAATTCGAGAGTAAAAAAATAATTCGAAAGTCAAACAATGATTCGAAAGTCAAATAATGATTCAACAGTAAAATAATAATTCGAAAGTCAAATAATGATTCAACAGTAAAATAATAATTCGAGAGTAAAAAAATAATTCGAAAGTCACATAATGATTCAACAGTAAAATAATAATTTGAGAATGTAACATTAAGGGTATAATTATTAAGTATTATTTATTTATTAAATTTCAGATAAATCTTGTTTAAAAATTGATACGAGATCTGCACGTGTCGGAACGAGGCTGGAAACAAAAATTCGAACGCGTGTGAACATATCGCGGAAGTCAATTGCAGTCGAAGTGTTCCTACAAGATTCGAAGACATCAAATTTGCTAACCTAGTATCATGAAAGCAAAATATCGAGTGTATTGATCAATTTGTTCGAAACATTAATAAAGATGGCTCAGCCACGTAAACTCAGTTCATATACTGAAAGTAAGTTGAAGAGAAGCCTGCCGCTGAAACATCCGCTGTCTTTGGACGCAGCTACACTGTGGGAAAGAAAATCGAATGGTTATCGAATCATCGGCCTCCGTCTGGACAAATTCATGCAAACAATACGCTTTATGCTAGTACATTACTGCACGAAGTACAGTCTACATACACGTAATTAGTAAAAGCCAACTAATGGATAACGTGTTCGTTTCGTTGTACGATACGATATTAAATTATTATTATTATTATTATATTGAATGATAATTATTATGTTGAATATATATACTGTCATACATTGATCATCTGTCTGCTTAGAGAAAGAGCTGTTGTCATTTAGCTCGAATTATTTCGAGGTGGTAGATAATTCAATAATAATTATCATTCAATATAATATATATATATATATATTGAATGATATGAATATATATAATAATTCGAGCTAAATGACCACAGCTCTTTCTCTAAGCAGACAGATGATCAATGTAAGACCTGTCTCTTATACACATCTAGATGTGTATAAGAGACAGCAGCTCTTTCTCTAAGCAGACAGATGATCAATGTAAGACCTGTCTCTTATACACATCTAGATGTGTATAAGAGACAGCAGCTCTTTCTCTAAGCAGACAGATGATCAATGTAAGACCTGTCTCTTATACACATCTAGATGTGTATAAGAGACAGCAGCTCTTTCTCTAAGCAGACAGATGATCAATGTAAGACCTGTCTCTTATACACATCTAGATGTGTATAAGAGACAGCAGCTCTTTCTCTAAGCAGACAGATGATCAATGTAAGACCTGTCTCTTATACACATCTAGATGTGTATAAGAGACAGCAGCTCTTTCTCTAAGCAGACAGATGATCAATGTAAGACCTGTCTCTTATACACATCTAGATGTGTATAAGAGACAGCAGCTCTTTCTCTAAGCAGACAGATGATCAATGTAAGACCTGTCTCTTATACACATCTAGATGTGTATAAGAGACAGCAGCTCTTTCTCTAAGCAGACAGATGATCAATGTAAGACCTGTCTCTTATACACATCTAGATGTGTATAAGAGACAGCAGCTCTTTCTCTAAGCAGACAGATGATCAATGTAAGACCTGTCTCTTATACACATCTAGATGTGTATAAGAGACAGCAGCTCTTTCTCTAAGCAGACAGATGATCAATGTAAGACCTGTCTCTTATACACATCTAGATGTGTATAAGAGACAGCAGCTCTTTCTCTAAGCAGACAGATGATCAATGTAAGACCTGTCTCTTATACACATCTAGATGTGTATAAGAGACAGCAGCTCTTTCTCTAAGCAGACAGATGATCAATGTAAGACCTGTCTCTTATACACATCTAGATGTGTATAAGAGACAGCAGCTCTTTCTCTAAGCAGACAGATGATCAATGTAAGACAGTGGACAATGAAGCATCCGGATGTTATACAAATATTTTTTATAACACTATATTAACTTTCTATAATTAATCATTTCCATTGTCCACCTATTACATTATGTATTCAATTCTTCATATTTTCGCATAGAAGTTGCACGTACCGATAAATGTTAAGAAATGTTAACATTTGAGTTAAAATTTGATATTCTAATAAATGTACGTCTTATTAAATTAAAAGTGCATATTATAATGAAGCATACAATACATCGTTTATATCGCAAAATTGTTTTACTTAGAGAAATTACGGTAAATGAAAAAGATAATGAAGATAAAAATAAATAAATACAAATAGAAAATAAAGCAAAGGTAAAAAATTGAAAAATTATAAAAAAATAAAATTAATATTTTCGTTGATACAATACAAATTTGTATCCCATGTCAAGTAGGTTTACTGTACCCAAGACTATGCAACTCTGTAATATGTTTCTTAACTTTCGTCGGTAAGCGTACATGAAATTCTTTACCCTGATTCAAAGATCATAATGATTACCCGAATTTCTTGAAAGTTTCTTCAGTTAAACTCCTTCGAACGTTTCAGGATCATTTTTGCTCATCGGAACCAATGTGCAAAGCTGTTCATTTGGTCGAGGACGTTGCATCCGTCAGGGCTTGCATAAACATTATTTTTGCCAAGATGCAGGAAATGCTTAGTTTCTGTGCCCTTCGAGAAGGGAGTAATGAAATGGTAGGCGTGCTGATCGCGTCGAAACTAGACAGAAACCAAATGGAGCTCAAATTAAAGGTGAGAAACAACAGCCTGTGAACTTGCGGTTGCGATGCTTTCGCGTAAAATTTCAGAAACAATTGTCGCAATACTAACTGAACTAAAAATTGTTGTGTCACATTCCAAAATAATTTATACATTGTTATTATATATATTATTACATTATTATTTTAAAAGTGTAACTGTTGTACGAGTCGCAAGACTGAATTTCGTATGCATAAAATTGCCCTAAGTAAGTCACAAATGGTAAGTTGTTTAACCATCTTAGATTTGGAGTTAAAATCGCTTCGAGTGCAAAGAGTTAACCAACGTACTATTTTCTTCGTAGTTCCAATAATCAGAGGTTTTTCGATTGTAATCATTTCAAAGAAGAAAACCGACAATTTACATTTATTTCGTGTTCACGTTTACTTAAACGTTTAAAAATACCGATGACGAGAGATCAAAATTTTGTTCAGACTAAAAAGAACGGAACAGCGTCCGTACTTAACAGGTTATTACTAGAAATCTCCATCGCGTGTCAGAGTCGTCGCAGTACGACAAGGGGTTGATATTCTGAGCAAAGCAGGAAATGCCGATTTCCTGTGTATTGAAATTCGAACGTCCTTTGAACAGCCAAGTCAGGGGGACGCGATTCATCAAATTGCGAATGTGAAATATTACGCTATAACGGAGGCGCTGTTTTACGAAAACGTGGACGCGGAGAAGCTGATTCACATCGACCTTCTGTGCGTGAAGCCACAGCACCAGAAACGAGGCGTTGGTACTTCGTTGGTGCGTTCCTGTATTGCCCGAGCGATCAAACTGGACGCCGGATGCGTCGGGGAGTTCACGTGCGACGCTTCACAAACGATCGGTAGATTTTTACGAAGTGAAAGGCGACCGGTTTTATAAGTACCGTAAAGCGGTTGCATCACTGATCTCTCGTCGCGTTTGCAGCTGAAAGACTGGGATTCGAAGTTTATTCGGAAATCCCGTACAAATTCATGGGCTGGTTGCATCGCAGTTTTGAAAGGTTCGAGACTTGCCAGACTGAGAATTATTCTCTGGTTTGCATCGCGATGGTGCCACCGCCGCCTAGAGTCGTGTCATTGATCATTCCTCCAGCCGAGGATACTAAACAACCACCGAAACGACGGAATAAGAATGATAAGAAGAAGAAGAAGAACAAGAAGAACAAGAAAGTGAAAAAGAGATAATTTGTTTATTTATTCGCAGTATATTCGTGTTCACGACGTTACGCTATTATTATAAATAACCTTTTGGAATTACGTCGTCTGTCTCTTAATTTAATTGCTCCGACCAAGACTGTCTGAAAACAGGTGTCAACAATATGTAATAACGAATTTGTGATATAATCGCTGCGATTTTATCGAACTGATAAAGTTGTGAGAAATTATTGCACAATTATTGCACACGCGAGTTTGTATACTCTAGGTTTGCGTCCATGGGACTGCATAATACAGATGCTATGTCGTTTAACCCTCCGACGACGGACCATTCTAACAATTATACAATTGACGATGATTCTAATAATTTTCAACTTCATTTATTAATTGTTCAAAATATAGTTTCGAGAATTATTCTTGTAGATTTATCGTCCTTTCTGTTGTTCCTAGCGTAACAGCAGTTTTTAAAATTTAATTTCCGTAAATTGAGTAATTAGATGACGGTTAAAAGTACGCTAAAAATGATCCGTAGACCGAAGGTTAACTAATACAATTAATGAAAACGTTAAATCTAATATAGTACACAATCGGCCGATATTAATATCAACTCCGCGTCTTCGCACATCTTTTTTTTTACAAAATTCATTTAAATATCTTCATTAGATCGTTACATTTTGAATTCTTGGTACGAAAATATTTTTGAAAATAACGTCAGTTATTCGTTTAGTTTCATAGTTTCTAAGCAACTTTTATAATTCGTCCTTTTGTTGTGCTCCTTTGTCGCTGTCGATCAAATCAGGCCGTATCGGCAAACTTTTCCAGAAATTGATTCTCTCTTGGTTAAGGTTCGCCGACATTTCGATTTGGTCCTGTCCTATGCGAAGATACTCGAGGGCTTCCGTTCTCACTGGTTTCCATTTAATGGGAACATCTCTCGATACTTCGGGCGTGGGGTTGCTGAAAATTAATTATTAACAATTAAGTTACAAGTTATTCGAAGGTTTACGTCGTGATAAATCCATCCGTCACACATTGAACATAACAGTGTAAGATCAGATCTTGAATTAAAAATATGTGACTGATACAAAAAGCGTTAACGTGTGAGTTTCCTGTGGATTCAAACTAAAATTCCTTTCTTCATCCGGAGTTTAATTTAAACCACCGAGTGGATTATAATTATCAGCGACTCAAAGTTGCCGCAAAATTTACCTCGAATATGATTCTCAAGGTCAAATTTTTTTATTACTGCATCCTATAGTTCTCGAAAAGTGGGCGAAATAATCTCAAAGGAACTACGGGTCAAAAAAGACCTGTTCTCTTAAAAATTGACGTTAGTTGTTTCATTTTCATGATACTTTTCTTTCATAGTTAAATTCGTCCGCGTTGTGCTACGATACGGAATGTATCTTGAAAATCATGCTCAAGGTCAATTTTGCGACAACTTTTTTTTACAAAATCTCCACCGATCCGAAGGTGTAGAAATCACATCGTAACGGCCGTGACATAATTTCTTAACATCCTCTACAGTTGTGTCTATTTTAGATAATGCAGTGGGTTCCAGATCGTTTCTTTGTTCTTAAAAATGTTTTTTAAAGGGGATTTTGTGTTATGTTGTTGTTAGGGTGGTGATATGTTACATTGGTAGGGTGGTGTTGCATGATGTTGGTGGTTCTTCTCTGTTGAGAAGGTATCGATGAGCAAGAGCTTTGTGTGATCCAGTATAATTCTTGAGACCACAATCTGGCCATGTTTTGATTGAAGATACGAGATATGCTTTTTTTGAAAAAGTTCTCTTTTACTCTAACTAGTCGTGACAAGTCAAATTTGAATCATTCATAGATTCGAAACTTTTAGGGGCGCAATGTTTCAAAATTTTGAACTTTGTTAAAGAGAACATTTACTTCTAAGGGTCGTATCATAAACGTAAATTGTATTTAATTGAGAATGATTGTTTAGCATAGAATTATACAGGCTGTCCCATAATTATGTTAACAACCGAAAAGGGGTGATTCTTCGGGTCATTCGAAGTAACTTTTTCCTTAGCGAAAATGCAATCCGCGGCTTGGTTTACGAGTTATTAGCGAAAAACAGTGACCAATGAGACGCGAGTTCAGCTGGTGCAAGGAAAGCCGAGTCAACAGGCGGCTGAGGCCCAGTTCCGCTCATTGGCTCGGTCGCCTAGCGTTAGGCGAGCTCGCCTCTCATTGGTCAGTACTTTTCGTTAATAACTCGTAAACCAAGCTGCGGATTGCATTTTCACTAAGGAAAAAGTTACTTCGAATGACCTCAGGAATCACTCTTTTCCAGGTGATGCTCGCGAAAAAAAAAGTTTATCAATTGTTTCGAACACGTACCCAGTGGTAGCAAAGTTGACCCAGAGACCTGTAATAATGTTGATCATTTTTTCATCGTTTTTACTGAGCGGTATGTCCTTAAACAACTGTTCTCCGACTGGGAACAAGTACTGTAGTTCATCGGCATGGCATACTCCATAATCGTTGTCTGGGTCACCAAATATTATACTGAACGATGCACTTCCTCGATAGTTCATGTAATAGTAATAAACCGGGGATGACTGCTTCTCAAGATAGTCGTGCACCGAACTATCAGCGGCGTGAGCGAACCAAGCATCGCTATACATCTATAAATCAATAATATTTTTACAATAAATAACAACAATAATGATATTATTTTAATAAGAAATATTTCAGAATTAAAATTTTTTTATATTTTAGGATATCATAAAATTGTAATAACTATCCTTATTGTATGAATATTTGAAAATTAAATCTTTTACATTTTCGAGGAAGATATTTCCAAAAGAAATAACGTTATGAAAATAAAGTGAGTAAGTAAAAAGTAAGAAAGTAAAGTAAGAATTGCCATAACGTCGATTTTTAATGTTAATAAATCTCGTTAAACCAAACTTCGATAAGTGTCGTACTTACATCGATGAGCTTGAATCGCGTGGAATTGTCGATGGGCGAATTGCCGAAATAAAATTCTCGAATTTCAGTGGCGATCCGTTTTGTCTCCTTCGTAGGACACGATTGTCCAAACAGCAGCGTTATGGGAGCAATATTTAGGAAATCGTCATTCAATTTTTTCACCAATGCTCCATTCCGGCGTGTGTATAGCCCTAACGAAATTCGATTTACATGTGTTTCAGATAAATTACGCAGGCGAAATCAATTGACCAATAAAATGTAATTATTAAATGCAACTGGATAAATAATAATGTAATCGTGATACGACAGTAGCAACGTAACATGCTTCACTAGTAAAAAATAATAGAAGAAACAAGTTGAGTCTTCATTCCCTTGAATCTTTTCCATATTTTCTTCAAAATCGAAAATCTGCTGATATATCTCGCAAGTTATTGCG